AGAAGTATGAAGCAAGATCTCTACCTCATACCTTACACAAAAATCCACTCAAAATTGATTAAGGATCTAAATCTATGGCTCAATACCACAAAATTACTAGAGAACTTTGAGGAAACCCTGAAAGACTTCGGACTAGGCAAAGACTCCTTGGAAAAGACCCAAGAGGCACAGGCAATCAAAGCTCAAATTGACAAATGGAATTACATCAAATTGAGAAGTTTCTGTATTGCAAAAGAAACACTCAGGAAAGTGAAGAGGCAACTGAGAGGACGGGAGAAATGATTTGCAAATTATGCAACTGATAAAGGATTAATAACCAAAATACATAAAGAGATCAAGAAACTCAGCACAAAAAAAAATTAATTAGGAAATGGGCAGGGGCCAGCACTGTGGCATAGCGGGTAAAACCGCCACCTGCTATGCCAGCATCTCATTTGGGCACCGGTTAATGTCCCATCTCCACTTCCGATCCAGCTCTCTGCTATGGCCTGGGAAAGCAGTAGAAGATGGCCCAAGTCCTTGGCCCCTGCACCCACGTGGGAGACCCAGACAAAGCTCCTGGCTTCTGGCTTCAGGTAGTCTCAGCTCCAGCTGTTGAGGCAACTGTGGAATGAAGCAGCAGATGGAAGACCTCTCTCTCTCTCTGCCTCTCCTTCTCTCTCTGTGAAACTCTGACTTTCAAATAAATAAATAAATCTTTTTATAAAAAAGAAATGAGCAAAGGACTTTAACAGGCATTTTTCCAAAGAGGAACCTCAAATGTCCAATAGACCCATGAAAATGCTCAGGATAACTAGCCATCAGGGAAATGCAAATCAAAGCCAAAATGAGGTTTCACCTCACCCCGTTAGAACGGCATCCATACAGAAATCAACAAACAACAATTGATGGTAAGAATGTGAAGAAAAATGTACCCTAATCCACTGTTGATGGGACTGTAAATTGGTAAAGTCACTATGGAATACAGTATGTAGATACCTCAGAAATCTGAATATAGACCTAACATATGACCCTGCCATCCCATTCCTGGGAATTTCCAAGAGAAATGAAATCAGCATAAAGAAAAAGTTATCTATACCCTCATGTTTATCACAGCTCAATTCACAATAACAAAGACATGGAATCAACCCAAGTGGCTGTCAACTGAAGACTGGATAAAGAAATTATGGGATATGTACACCACAGAATACTTCACAGTGGTTAAAAACGATCAGGTAATTTGCAACAAAATTGGTAAAACTGGAAAAAAATCATGCTTAGTGAAATAAGTCAGTCCCAAAAGGACAAATACTATATGTTCTCCCTGAGCTGTGATAACAATTCTATAGAAGTGAAATTAACACTTTGAGATGCAATGACTTTTAACAGCCCTTGTCATAACTGTTGAGGAACAGTTTTTTCCATACTATGTGTTGAACTCTTTACTTAATATAGAGTTAATCATATATGTATAAAGTTAATTGAACATAGATCTTAGTAAAAAAAAAATAAGAATGAGAATAGGAGTGGAATGAGGAAGAGGAGTGGGAGAGTTGTTGGGAGAGTGGGTCAGTTAAAAAGAATCACCATGTCCCTAAGGTTGTAATTATGTAATATATGAAGTTTGTGTTCCTTAAATAAAATGTTTCTGGGGAAAAATTATCATGGATTTCAAAATTGTTGTACCTAAATTAACTTATCTTTCAATTTCATTTTATGAAAACTATTAAAGTTATCGTCAAATGTTCTACTGAAAAAAAAAAAAACTAAAGAATAATTAAACACAGTGTTGGATATTTGGGGATACTATCAAATGACCTAACATATGGGTCATAGGAATTCCTGAAGGCATGGAAAAGAGAATGGGTTAGAAGAACTTTTAAGTGAAATAATTATAGGAAACTTTTCTAATTTTGTTAAAGAAAGGGGCATCCAAGTACAGGAAGCACAGATAACTCCTAATGGACATTACCAAAAAAGATCTTCACCACGACACATTGTAGTCAAATTTCCACAGCAAAACATAAAGTTTCTAAAATGTGCATGAGGGAAATGAAAGATTATTTTCAGAGGATTTCTAATTAGACTTACAGCTGACTTTTCATCAGAATCCCTATAGGCTAGAAGAGAATGACAAGATACAGTCCAAGACTTAAAAAGAAAAAAAAAACCTGTCAACCCAGATTGCTGCACCCTGCAAAGCGCTCATATATAAATGAAGGTGACATAAAGACTTTCTATAACAAATAGAAATTGAAACAATTTGTTACCACTTGTCCAGCCTTAAAAAAGATGTTTATGGATGTGCTACACACAGAAACAAAGAAACATGATCAACATTATGAAAGAATGTGAAGGCAGAAAAATCTCTCAGTAAAAGAACAAATAAATCCAAAGTAAACAATAGGAGTATTTATAGAAAATGGCAGGGCCAAGTCGTTACATATCAATAGTCACCTTGAAAGGCCTCAACTGTCCAGTTAAAGGATACAGACTGGATGAATGGATTAAAAAACAAGACCCATCTATTTTCTGCCTACAATAAACATATCTATCCCACAAAGATACCCATAAACTGAAACTAAAAGTATGGAAAAATATATCCCATGCTAATGGAAACCAAAAAAGAGCTGGTATAGCCACCCTAATATCAGACAAAATGGACTTTAGCACAAAAACTGTTAAAAGAGACAAAGAAATACACTATGTAATGATGAAGGATCAATTCAACAGGAAGACTGACTATAATAAACATATACATACCAAATTACATAGCACCAGGCTATTTAAAAGAAATGTTGGGTCCGGCACTGTGGTGTAGCAGATAAAGCCACTGCCTGCAGTGCCAGCATCCCATATGGGTGCCAGTTCGAGTCCCAGATGCTCCACTTCTTGTCTAGCTCTATGCTCTGGCCTGGCCTGGGAAAGCAGTAGAAGACGGCCCAAGGTCTTGAGCCCTTGCAGCCACGTGGGAGACCCAGAGGAGGCTCCAGGTTCCTGGCTTTGGATCTGTGCAGTTCCTGCCATTGTGGACATCCGGGAAGTGAACCAGCAGATGGAAGACCTCTCTCTCTCTCTCTCTCTCTCTGCCTCTGCCTCTCTGTAACTCTGTCTTTCAAAAATAAATAAATATTAAAAAAAGAAATGTTAATGTATCTAATGTTAATGTAATCTAAAGGGAGACATAGACTCCAATGCAATAGTAATGGGGAATTCAATAACCCACATTCAGCAATGGACAGATCAGCTAGACAGAAAATCCACAGGGAAAGAATAGAGTTACTGAACACTATAGACCAAATGGACCTAATGGATATCTACAGAACTTTTCATCCTACAGTTGCAGAATACACATTCTTCTCACCAGTGCATGGAACTTTCTTTAGGATTGACCATATGCTAGGCCATAAAGCAAGTCTCAGAAAATTCAAAAAAATAGAAATCCTTATTCTCTGACCACAATGGGATGAAGCTGGAAGTCACCAACTCAAGAATCTCTAGGACAAATGCAAACACATGGAGACTGAAAAATATGTTCCTGAATGAACAGCATGTCATAGAAGAAATCAAAAAAGAAGTCAAAAATTCTCTGGAGACAAATGAAAATGACAATTCCACAAATCAAAACATGGGATACAGCAAAAGCAGTGTTAAGAGGAAAATTTCTACCAGTTGTTGCCTACATGAAAAAATTGAAAGGTATCAAATAAGTGAGCTATCAGTGCATTTCAAGGACCTAAAAAATAACAGCAAACCAAACCCCAAATCAGTAGGAAAAATTAGTTAATTATAATTAATGAAGAAATAAGCAAAAATAAAATTAAAATATTCCCTTCTAGTAGTAACATCTGAAAAGGTAAAAGTTTTTAATTATTTTGGAATTAACTTGTATAAGGTATGAGATAAAGATCCAATATTATTTATCTGCATGAGAATTTCCAGTCTTTCCAACAGCATTTATTGAAAATATTGCTTTTCCCTTATCTTTGCTGAAAATTAATCACTCATAAATTTGTGAACTAATCCCTTGGTTCTCTATTCTGTTCCATTGGCCTAATGTATCTGCCGTTGTATGCTACTATCATGGTGCTTTGAGTAATATAAATTTGTAATACATTTTGAAGTTAGGTAATGTGATACCTCCAGTTTGTTTTATTTATTCAAGATTACTATGCCTATTCAGGATCTTTTTTTGATTTCCCACACATCTTAGGATTGGTTTTACTATTTTGTTGAAAACTGTCATTGGAATTTGGATAGGACTGCATTGAATCTGACATCTCAACAATATTAATTTTTCCAATCCATGAAAACAAACTGTCTTTCTACTTGTGTCTGTTTCTATTTATCTCCACTGTTATATAGTTTTCAGGGAGCATACCTTTCATCTCTTTGGTTTAATTTATTCCTAATATTTTGATTTTTGTGGCTATTGTATTGAGTTCTTTGTGTGTGTGTGTGTGTTTCATATTTATTTAAAAAAAAAAGTTGCTCCAAAGAACAACCTCAGGGATGGAGGTGGCAGGACACAGACCCATAGGTAGCTAGAAAAGTATGCCTTAGGGAAATTTAGGGAGCCTCATTACTACCTTGTTTTAGATGCTATGTGAGTAGCTAGCTTAGTTTTCCATTCTTCTGTCCCACCCACTTACAAACATGGCACAGCTACTGGCTTGCCTAGTAAGGCCTCAGTTAAAGGACCCCATTTACACAGATTTGGTACAGCAGTACTTCTAACTTAAAAAGATCTCATCCCCATACAGTCTTGTTCTAGATCTTTGGCTGACTATCTTTATTGTTGCGTGTGAGATGGTTTCACCCCTTGAACACACAAAGCCATGTTAAGTCTTTATAGTTATCAATAAATTGTACTGCCCTCTCTTTTACATGCAGCTAAAAAATGGCAACAGGCCAGGATAAAACACAGTGAATGCTATACTGTTGCAATTATCACCCATTAAATGATCATTTGCTAATAACGGTCACTAAATTTATATATTATATATAGAATATATATTATATATAGAATACTGCAAAAACACAGTAAAAAGACTGAAGTTTGCTCATTTCTGCTCAGGAAGTCCCTTCAATCCCAAGCTTCATCATATGCCATCCTTTCAGCTTCAAAATTTACTGCTGTTACTACTGCTTCTCCTCCTTTTGATCTTCCTTTTGTTCCCCAGTGCCAGAACTTCCAGAGCCTTCTCGCTCGGATGCCATCTTTTTGTATGCTATTTCAAAGAGCTTCAGTGATGCCTGCTGAAGGGAAGATGTTGCCTGCCTAATGTTTTCTCCTGTTTCGCTGTCTTTTCGAGCCAGGAGTTCCCTCATTTTGGAAATCTCTTCTTTTAGCTTGTTACACTCATCAGCAGGCAACTGGTCCTTGAATTCTTCCATCTTGGTTTTTGTGTCATGAATGATTCCTTCAGCCATATTAACTGCTTCAACCCGTTCCTTCTTTGGCCGGTCTTCATCAGCATACTTTTCTGCATTTTTAACCATATTTTCAATGTCATCTTTGCTTAATCCACCTGAAGACTGGATTACAATCTGCTGCTCACGTCCTGTGCCCTTATCTTTAACAGAAACATGTACAACCCCATTGGCATCGTCAGCCGGCGCCATGGCTCACTAGGCTAATCCTCCGCCTTGCGGCGCTGGCACACTGGGTTCTAGTCCCGGTCGGGGCTCCGGATTCTGTCCCGGTTGCCCCTCTTCCAGGCCAGCTCTCTGCTATGGCCCGGGAATGCAGTGGAGGATGGCCCAAGTACTTGGGTCCTGCACCCCATAGGAGACCAGGAGAAGCACCTGGCTCCTGGCTTCGGATCAGTGCGATGCACCGGCCGCAGCGCTCTGGCTGCGGCGGCCATTGGAAGCTGAACCAACGGCAAAAAAACCAACGGCAAAAGGAAGACCTTTCTCTCTGTCTCTCTCTCTCTCACTGTCCACTCTGCCTGTCAAAAAAAAAAAAAAACCCATTGGCATCAATATCAAATGTAACTTCAATCTGAGGGACTCCTCGAGGTGCTGGAGGAATTCCAATCAAAGTGAACTGTCCAAGAAGTTTGTTGTCTCCAGCCATCTCTCTCTCCCCCTGACATACTTTAATCTTGACTTGAGTCTGCCCATCAGCAGCAGTAGAAAACACCTGGCTCTTTTTGGTTGGAATAGTGTGTTCCTGTTAATAAGCTTGGTGAAGACACCTCCTAGAGTCTCAATACCCAGAAACAGGGGAGTGACATCCAGGAGCAGCACATCTGTGACATCACCAGCCAATACGCCTCCTTGAATAGCAACTCCAATAGCCACAGCTTCATCAGGATTGACAGCTTTACCTGGGGCTCGGCCAAAAAGATCCTGCACAGTCTGCTGGACCTTGGGCATCCTAGTCATGCCACCAACAAGAATCACTTCTCCTATGTCACTCTTGCTAACTTCTGCATCTTGCATAGATTTCTGGCATGGAGCCATAGTCCTCTTGATCAGATCTGCAACAATTCCCTCAAATTGAGCTTGGGTCAACTTAATGTTCAAATGCTTGGGTCCAGAAGCATCCATTGTAAGATATGGCAAGTTGATGTCGGTCTGCACAGATGAGGAGAGCTCACATTTGGCTTTCTCAGCAGCTTCTCTCACTCTCTGCAGTGCCATGTTGTCTTTGGTCAAATCAACCCCTGTCTCCCTCTTGAACTCCTTCACAATGTGTCATAACAGGGCCTGGTCAAAGTCTTCACCACCTATCGTAGTGAGTTATTAATTTCTTTTTGTGCATAGAGCATTGTGAGTGTATGAAACCATTACTGATTTAATTTTGATTTGGTAATCTGCAATTTTACTAAATTTATTAGTAATAATAGATTTTTGGTGGATGATTCACGGTTTCTATATAAAAAACTGTGTCATTTGTTTACAAGAACAATTTAACTTCTTCCTTTCTTATTGATATGCTTTTTATTTGTTTCCATTTTGTATTTGCTCTGGTTAGAACTTCCAGTGGATGGAAGAACTCTCTGTTTCTCCCTCTATTTCTGTAACTCTGCATCTCACATAAATAAACAAATAAATAAATCTTTAAAAATAAAATTAAATTGAAAATTTATAAATGAGAAAAACATGCTATTAGACCTATTTTTCCAAAGACATACAAATGGCCAATAGGTGTATGAAAATGTATTCAGAGGCTGGCGCTGTGGCATAGTGGGTAAAGCTGCCACCTGCAGTGCTGGCATCCCATATGGGCGCCGGTTCGAGACCCATGGCTGTTCCACTTCTGATGCAGCTCTCTGGGAAAACAGTAGAAAATGGCCCAAATCCTTGGGCCCCTGCACCCACATGGGAGACCTAGAAGAAGCTCCTGGCTGCTAGCTTCGGATAGGCACAGTTTGGCCATTGCAACCAATTGGGGAGTGAACAAGCGGATGGAAGATCTCTCTCTCTCTCTCTTGCCCTCTCTCTCTCTCTCTCTGCCTCTCCTCTCTGTGTGTAACTCCGACTTTCAAATAAATAAATCTTTAAAAAAAGAAAATGTATTTAATTTCACTAATTATCATAGAAATGCAAATCAAATTACAGTGAAATATCACCTCACCTCATTAAGATGGTACTATTGTTTGAGCTCAAGTCCCCAGGGTAGCAGTGGAAACTTTAGGAGGTGTGACCTAGTGGAAAGTAGTGGAAAGTCCTCAGGTCCTTGACGACATATCATTAAAGGGGATTGTGGGTCTCTCTTCCTTTACTCAGATTTGATATATGACAACTCACTCTGAAATGCACTCCCACTGTTGTCATCCACCACTCTTACCAGAGGAAAAGCAAATTTTCCCTATACCCCACCAAATTATGGACTTAGAATCTCAGAAACTAGGTTAAATAAACCTTTTCACTTTATGAAGTTAGCTGCCTAAACTATTTCATTGTGGTGATGCAAAGCTGACTAATACAGATTGCTATTATTAAAAAAGATCCTCCCAAAAAATCCCAAGAGTAAACAAGTGCATGTAAGGATATGGAATAAATTGAACCCTTGAACACTGTACAACTGTATATGGAAGTGTAAATCAGTAAAGCCATTGTCAAAAATAATATGAACAGTTTTCAAAGATTTAAAAATTAAACTACTTATAATATGACCTAGTTTATATACCAAAGATATGGAATCAGTACCATATATATATTTCCATGTTCAATCATTGCAGCATTATACTTAACAGCCAAGATGTAGAAACAACCAAAAGTATTTATTACTCTTGACATAACCCAGCCAGACAGAGATAAAGAGAAAAAATTAAAAAGAATGAAGAACATCTATGCGAACTATGGTGATATGGTTAAACTACCAAATATTCATATAATTAGTATTCCTGAAAGAGAAAAAAGGAAAAAAAGTCTTTTAGAATCTGCTAAATGAAATAATAATTAGAAATTTCCCATGTCTTGAAAGATACATGGACATCCAGATACAAGTAGCTGAAAGAACTCCAAGCAGACACAACCAAAGAAGGTCTTTTCCAAGTTAAGGACAAAGAGCGAATTCTAAAGTCAATAAGATAAAAGTGTCAAATTACATATAAAGGACAACCAATTGGATTAACATCAGACTTCTCAGTAGAAATCCTACAGGTCAGAAGACAGCAGGATGGAATATTCAAGGACTTAAAAGAAAAACATTTCCAACAAAGAATATTACATCCAGAAAAGCTAGCCTTTAAAAGTGAAGGAGAAGTAGAATATTTTTCAGATAAGCAAAAACAGAGAATTCACCACCACCAGACCAGCCTTATAAGAAATTCTGGAATGCATCCTGCATTAGAATTAAACATCATTAAAAGACATAACACCACCAAATTCATTAACTGAGCAGGTAAAATCCAATTAACAAAATGACAGGTCATAATTCTTAAATATCAACACTAACCTTTAATGTAAATATATTAAATTCTCCAGCCAAAAGACTTAGGTTTGTTGAATAGATAAAAAACCAAGGTCACACTATACATTGCCTACAAGAAACTCACTTCACAACCAAAGATACAGACATACTGAAAGTGAAGGGCTGGATAAAAGTATACCAGGTAAATGGAAATCAAGCAGGAGTAGATATCTTGGAATAGTATTAAGCTTTAAATAAGAAAGATCTCCTGCCATTTGGGATACGACCTGGGAACCTGAAGAGCATTATACTAAGGGAAATAAGCATCACATAGAGGAAGATTGAAAAAAAGCTAAATCACCTTTGAGATGCAATAACTTTGAGCAGCCCTTGTCTGGACTATTTGTTGCTCCCCCTCTTCATGGAGGAATGACACAGGACCCTGTGCTGTTCTTTTGTCTGCTCAGCCCTTCCCGGGTTTGCTGCTGGTTCTTCCCGGGTTGGCTACCAACCCTTCCACCTCCGTGGAAAGGCGGTGCCCCCCTGCCACTTTCCCACTTCCGCGGGGGAGCGGCACACCGCCGGCCGGCTCTCTCGGGGGCTGCTCAGATGTTCCTCAGGTGTTCCTGGTGCATGTTGTCTCTCTCCTCCTTTATAGTCCTCTTCCACCAATCCCAACTCTGCTACCCACACGCCGAGTACGCTGCTCTCCTCCAATCAGGAGCAGGTCCTACAGTTTATTGGTTGAACTGGAGGCAGCTGTGTAGAAGCTGTTTACTCCTCTCTCAGCGCCATATTGTGGGAGAGCAGATGCGTAGAATAAGTCTTAATTCCAGTAACTTAGCCTAGTCTCAGTTGCTCCCCACACTATTGAGGAACAGTTTGTTGTTGCTGTTTCTTTATTTTTCAAATTTTTCTCTTTTTTTCTCATACAAAGCGTTGAACTCTTTACCTAGAATAGAGTGAACCCTCTATATATAAAGTTAAATGAACATAGATTTTAGTGAAAAACAGGACAAGGAACAGTAGAGGGAAAAGGAAGTGGGGTGGGGGAGTGGGTGGGAAGGCAGGTAAGTTGGGGAGAATTACTATGTTCCTAATGTTGTATTTATGAAATGCATACACATAAATTTAAAAAATAAACTAATCAGAAAGAAATGTCATAGGTTTTGCCCCTCATTCCACCATATGATTTCAGCAGTCTTCATTTTCACAGTAGCAAATTTCTAGGTTCATCTTGTGGGCCTCAAAATTCTGGAAAGAAAGCTCCAATTCAAAGGCAATTTATCTAAAGATACTTTATAATGAAACTAAGTTTTTGTCCATTTGAAATGTATAAGTTGTGTTATAACATAGTAGTGTCAAGTATAACCACTATCCTTGTAGTTGAACTTCCAGGATCAAGAAAGCATATTTAAATTGATTCCCATCCTTATTGGTGGGGCATAGCTAACTCAACTGTGAAAAGACACATTTCACAATTACCTTGGTGCTGATTACGTAGCCTGGGTCTCTGCCTTCTCCTCCTGCCCCACCCTCTGCCCTCACTCTATCCCCACCCCACATCAGCCTTCCAGTTTGGGGTGACTCTTTAGAGTAAAAGTGAAGAATTCAGGTGGCAGGCCCTGAGACTACTGTTGGATGTAGGTGTGCTTTGTCTGCACTCCAGTTTCTTTTGCTGTCTTAAATGATGCCTTCTCCAAGCCATCATCCTGTTTCCCCTGCTCCACTGCCACATTTGGCCAAAGCATAAATTGTGACCCCTCTGCTCCCCTCTGCAATTGGAATTCAGGTATTTCTATCTTTGTCCCCAACCTTTATCAAGGGGTGCTACTTTCCCTTCATCCTTCAAGGCCATTTGTGCACCATCACCACCCAGAACTCTGAAGTTGGAAAGTCTCTGACCCCTCTTGTTGAGTTTGGGGACCACATTCACTCACTGTCCACCAGCCCAGGAAAGGAAGGCCAGAGCCTCAGCTCTGCAACCTTCTGCTCTTGTTCTTATAGCTGACACATTCTTGCATCTCAGGTTCTGATAAGATGTCAAGAATGGCAGCAGCACATTTGCTCATATCTGCCCACTCCAAATCCTTGGTGGTTAAACCCAGGGAAAAGGCCATTTGGAGACATTGAAGCACACAGGAGCCACTGAATTGTTCTTTCCTGCAATTGCTTTTGCTTTTCAACACTGGAGATATTTTAAACAAGGCTCTCATTTGGTCATGCTTACAGTGCGTTGGATTTAGTTTGGAATCAGACAACTGGAACAAAAAGAACCATTAATCCGTGTACTTTGGTGTTGATGCATTGTTGATGCCTCTGAGTTGTCCACAGGGATTGAGAAAGAACTCAGCATTCATAGCACATTCCCAAGATTGGCAGGCTTGGTTCCCAGCATGTTGCTGCGTTTTCCCACTTTCCCTTCAGGACCACTAAAAGCTGAAATGTGGATGCATACTGAAATCAAAGCAAGTCATGCGTCCTAGAGGTTTTTGGTTTTTTTCCCCCTAAGTTTGCATTTGTGTAAGCAACTGCTTTTGAAACAGCAACTACCAAGTCTACGGAGCAATTGTTTCCATTCATCTTTTTTTTTTTTTTCTGGGGGAAACCTTAGTTCTGAAGAGGTAACACTGGTAATTCAGTTCTAAAGACATATCACTGGTAAAGTCTAACATAGTAGTATTCCATAAGCAGTCTTTTTATTGCCAGACCATTGCCTGAGTTTAGTATAATAAAGTGCATACTAATATTTAAAAATAAATAAATAAATGGCATTTCTGATTAATCACCCATGATAGAATATTCTGTTTAGCAACATTAAGAGACTAACAACAGACAAATTAGGCAGATGAAATTATTGCAATAGTGATCACTGTGACCCTGTTAGACAACTGTGGTGATGCTTAGGGAACACTTGACCACTTGATAGACAGAATCTGCTGTTGAGTTATGCTGTGTTGCATGACTAGAATATCATCTTATGTTTCTCTGACATCACACGCAAGAAGAAAACTTTTTCAGCACATAATGTGACTGAGGACAGCCTTTCAAAACCAATTTTTGATTCTACACAATGTCTGCTAACAAATATAAATATTTAATAAATGATTTATTTAAACCAAATCAGTTTCTGAATTCAAATTCATTTAACAATTTCCTTTATATACTTGCTGGAAGTTAAAAATCAATATCACTTGCTAGAGATGTAATTTTAAAAGTAAATGAAATGAAAATTCAATGAAAAATGGTACACATATTTACATATTTATATAAAGTAGTGAACCAAATCCATTTGTACTGTAGTACCTACTTCATACATGTTATGACACTCATAAATCTTTGCAATGATTTAGTATAAATATTGCTAGTCCTTTTGAATTTTTGCTTAGTTTTGACAGATTCAATATAGTTTAGATACAATTCTAAAAATATAATGATATTCCCTTTGTCCCTCCCCCTATTTTCCTTCTACCCTCCATACATCTCACTTTCTTTCTTGTTTTAGTTTTTGAAATAACAATTTAAAATTACATTACAGTAAAAAAGGCTTAATGATTCACCAAATGAGAATTTTAAAAAGTAAAAAGAAAAAAGAAACCTACCTTGGTAGGAATATAAGCAACAGCTATAAACAGTGATTGAATGGTAAATGACCATTTCATCCACATACAGCAAATTTTAAAGTAATCACAGACCTATTTCAGAAATCAAAATATTTCCTTTAGGTCTATTTCCTATTAGACTCAAAGAATGTGGGTATGTTTTTCACCATCATGCATAACCAGTATGGTAACACATGGGTATTTTGTGCAATACCATATAGAGAGCACAGATATGACCCGAGTATTTTGCCTCTGCAAGTGCCCTACTTCCTTAGCATTTTCTTCTGCTTGAGTTCTAATTCATTTTTTAAAAGAAATTGGTGTTTATTTTCCATCAACCTCATTTCCATTTCTGCTTCAGAGACTGTGAAGAGCAACTTAAGACCATGCAGTGGTTGATCCCAGCCGCTCAATGGCCTGAGAAGTGGGAGCTGCAGACCAGTCTTCAGTGGCAGGCTGAGCACTCTAGTCTTCAGTGGGGAATTGCTGAGTAGGCGCAGAGGGTACTTGCATGTTTACAGATCAGTCTGCAACCTTAGGATCAGTAGCCATGAATTCAGTGGGATAGTCCATTCATCCTGAAATTTTTCCTTGGTCACACCTTTTTCAGAAGTGGCCTGCTATTAGTTTTCAAGCTCTCCAGGATCTCTGTAGAAGTAGAGATTAGGGCCGGTGCTGCGGCTCAGTAGACTAATCCTCCGCCTGCGGCGCCGGCACACCGGGTTCTAGTCCCGGTTGGGGCACCAGATTCTATCCCGGTTGCCCCTCTTCCAGGCCAGCTTTCTGCTATGGCCCGGGAAGGCAGTGGAGGATGGCCCAAGTGCTTGGGCCCTGCACCCGCATGGGAGACCAGGAGAAGCACCTGGCTCCTGGCTTCGGATCAGTGCGGTGCGCCAGCCACAGCACACCGGGCGCAGCGGACACTGGGGGGTAAACCAACAAAAAAGGAAGACCTTTCTCTCTCTCTCACTGTCCACTCAGCCTGTCAAAAAAAAAAAAAAGAAGAAGTAGAGATTAGGCATGACCTCCCACGGGTGTTCACAGAAGATGGCACCACGCATGTGCAGAGCCTCGTGGTATTCACCACATCAGACCCACTGAATGGCCTCCCTTGGTGTTGCAAGGATGGCAATGTCCGCATAGCGCAGAGAAGAGTCTGTTTTACACACAACAATGATAGGCAAGTTCACATAAGACGCCTCTGTGAGAGGCTGGTGGTCAGCACTGGGAGCAGTAACAACCACAAAACGTGGCTCCCAGAAGGGTCTGGTTAGTTGCAGGTGTAAAGTGGCCAGCAATAGGAGCAGCTCCGGTGGCAGCAGCAAACTTCCACACTGCACTCTGGTGGGTTCCTGCAATAAGGAATTTGAGGACATCTCCCTCCTTCATTTTCAGAGCTTAAGGACTCTGGACATTTTGAACACTTCCCTTTAAGTTATGCTGAGAATGAAGAACATGCTGTATGGATTCCATGGAGGGTAGCTGGGAAAAGCAAGTTCTACTTCTTATAATAAGCTCCATAACCTAGAGACTTCACACATATTTTCTGTAAACTACAATATCCTACATTTATTCTTCATTTTTATTTTGGCCATAGATTTTCAGTTCTTTTGGAATAGGAAAATATTTTTAAATCTCTGCAAATGGGAAAATAATTGATGCCTATACTTTTCTGCCTTTCCCCAAACTTAGTACATTATGAATAGGATTTCATAGCTGTAGAACTGTTTTTAAATTCATATGTGAATGTAAATAGCTTCTCACAGATGCAGCCAAATGTCATTGTGTCCAGCAAATGACCGGAATTACACATATTGGGAGACTTTCAAGTGATATTTGTGACATCAAGACAATGGAGAATTTTGTATTGAAAAAAAAATTATTACTGCTCTGTCTTCATTTCTGAATAGACTTTAAGAAAGAAAGTGTTTGCAAGATGATGTTATGGCATTTCATAGTGCTGTTTGTGACATCAGTTCTTTCCTCTTTCTCCCTAAAACTGTCCCAAATCACCTTGTTTTTTTAAAGATTTATTTATTTGGAAAGCAGAGTGATAGAGAGAAGATGAGACACACACACAGGGCACATGGGGCTTCCATCCACAAGTTCACTACTTCAAATGGCCACAACAGCCAGGTTCAGGTCAAAGCCATGAGCAAAGATGTACATCCCGGTGCCCACACAGGTGGCAGGGGCCTAAGTACTTAGCCCATCTTCAGCTCTTCCCCAGGAACATTAGCATGGGAGTCCTCTCCTCTCTCTCTCTCTCTCTCTCTCTCTCTTTCTCTCTCTCATATCTGTCTGTCTCTTTGATTATCTAATAATTCTTTGAAAGGATAATTATATAGGGACCAGCATTATGATACTTCCAACCACACAGATTCAACAAGTTGGGAAGACTCTAGATCATCTTCTTTTTCAGGAGATTTGGATCTTATTCTGACCTACTCAACCATATTTTTACACTTCCAAGATTAAATCACATCACATATTTGTTTTTAACTTTCAAAATATTTTCAAATTAAATCCTAGGGTAATAAAAAATCTTACATATTTTCTAATTACTCAAAATATGGCTGCTTGCAAATCTATGTATGTCATTGCCAACCTAACAGAGAAGTCATGTGGAGAAAGAGAAGACATTTTTATTGAGATTTGATTGCACAACTAGATTCCCCATTATGGAAGTATATATGAAAATACTGCTAGAGAATGAAACCCTGAGTCCATACTGCTTTTGTCTGTACAGTAATTGCAATTCCCCCTGAAATAAACTTATGCTGGAAGGTACAGCCTCCCTCAATCCTTCCTTTACTGTCTGTGGCTGTTCCAACCCAACCATGGTAAAGATGAGAAGTTATGAGTACATATTATGGGCAACCTTTGCTGCACACTGATGCCCTATGGATCTTGGAGTATGTAGCCCTGTCCCTCAGTGTCACCAAGTTCCAGGGGGTTTGCTCATCACCTGCCCCACCCTCTGCCTGGATCCCCACTGAGGACTGAGGATCCCTCCTCTGAGAACCACTGTTAGGTCTCTTGGGACTCACGTACCTACAACACCATCCCCAATCCTTGCCCCATCTACACATGACTCACACTTCCCCTGGACACACCTTCCTCCCTTGTTCCAAGCACACCAAAAGGGCAAGCCACATGGGACAGTGCCATCCATCAATACAAACCTCCCTTCTTTCTCCTCACACCCACACATTAATTTCTGGGAAAATCAATCTGGAGACCTGTTGGTTGAGTGTCAGTGAGAAATAAAGAAGACTGTAGGAACATGCCACTCTTGGCAAAGGTCTGCCGGCAGAAAAGTGGACACTAATACACAGGAGCAATAATGGATACATGAAGCAGTGGGCATGCACACTGATCCGGTTTGTGTCATGCAGCTGAACCTTCCCTGCCTCTGAAGAGAAGGAATCTTGAGGTTCTCCTGAGTAAGAAAAGAAGCTTGCACAGAAAATTTTAATTTCCTTCCTAAAGTTGCTGTGATTTAGCACATAGTATTTGAATTCCCAAACTATCATGCACATTGTAACTTACAATTCCCTCCTTACAAAAGGAGCACCATTAGGCTCCTTTAATACAACACAGGAATGTATAACACTTACCTATGCCCCCAGGCCAAGCACAACTCTACAATTGATTTCCAGAGAGTAAGAAGATGTATGTGCCTGCTGATCCCTTTTTCTGTGAGATCTAGTCTTTATCAATTGACTCTTGTATTGTCAAAAAATAAATACTGTTGGGCTGGCACCCTGGCTCACTAGGCTAATCCTCTGCCTGCGGCGCCGGCACCCTGGGTTCTAGTTCCTGTTGGGGTGCCGGATTCTGTCCCGGTTGCTTCTCTTCCAGTCCAGCTCTCTGCTGTGGCCCGGGAAGGCAGTGGAGGATGGCCCAAGTGCTTGGGCCCTGCACCCGCATAGGAGACCAGGAGGAAGCACCTGGCTCCTGGCTTCGGATCAGTGCAGCGCCGGCCGTAGTGGCCACTTGGGGGGTGAATGAACGGAAAAAGGAAGACCTTTCTCTCCGTCTCTCTCTCACTGTCTAACTCTGCTTGTCAAAAACAAAAAAAAAAAATACTGTTATCTGAAGTTTAATGTGAAGCTTTGAAAATAAAACATTTCATCAACAACAATATATATCGTGTCAGTCCTAGTGGCCCTTATACAAATGTCCTTTTTATCTAAAACACGAAAATCCCAAAGAAGAGGATAAAAAGGAGTTCTTATTTCCATTTTCATATATATGTAGCAGCATTTATTAATCATTGGGGATATTTTATGAAAATTATTTTATATTTTCCAAACTGTAGTTTATAATTCATAGTGTATTATGAGACTGATGTAACAAACAACAAATTGAAACTGATCTTAAGAGTATAAAAATTAACTGAAAATTTATCTCTGTAAAAAATAAGAATGGGAAAGGAAGAGGGAGGAGGAAGAAAGGCAGGAGTATGGGTGGGAGGGAGGTGGGGGGAAGAAGCATCATATTCCCAAATCTGTATATATTATATGCAAAGTTGTATTCCTTAAATAATATAAATTTTAAAAGCTATCAGCATGCACTGTACAGAGGATGTACATACAAACTGTACACATGCACAAACATACCTACACATATAAGTACTTATGAGCTTACTGGAATATATACAAAGTGTATTTTTCTTATGTACTGTAATAAGAAAGTTTGAATGTCATTACTTAAGAAGATATTAGTTAAATATCTGGTGGCTAGCAAGTAGATTAAGATATTATTACAATACAGTCTTTCTTATCCATAGTTTTCCACATAAATCTTGAAATAGTTCGCAATTATTTTTTTAAATGATTTATTTATTTATATTACAGGCAGAATTCCAGAGAGAAGTTGTAGAGACATAGAGAAAGAGGTCTTCCATCCTCTGTTCAGTCTCCAAATTGCCTCAATGGTTGGAGCAGGGCCAGACTGAAACCAGGAACCAGGAACTCTATGCAGGTCTCCCATGTGGGTGGCAGGAGCCCAGATATTTTGTCTATCTTCTGCTGCTTTCACAAGGTGCATCAGTGGGGAAGCAGATTGGAAGTGGAACAGCAAGGACACAAAACCTGTGCTTACATAGGATGCTGGCATTGCAGGCGGCAGCTTACCCTGTTGCCTCACAATGTCAGCCCCTCTTAGTTCAGTTTAACCTAATTGATTTTTACTGTGAGAATTTGACCTTCAGCAAATTCACTTATAATAGCTTAAGGTTATGAGAAAAACACCTGGCAAGTTATGTTTCACTATCTCTGTCAATGCTGAGATCATATCCTATTTTCTTTTTCTACAGAAGTGGATGTGCTTATGTATTATGATTCTGCATTTACCTGATTTTGCCTAGGTAGTTTTACTTTTGGAAATAGTGTATCTTTTTTACCAAAAAAATAACTCACTCTGGGATTTTTAAAGATTTGTTTTATTTATGTAGAGAAACATAGAGAGAGGAAGGAATGACAAGGGGGAGGGATATAAATTCTCAGAAATGACATAGAAGACATGAAGAACAAACCTGAAAATTTTAAAACTAGAAAATTCAATAATAAAATAAGAAGCTCAGTGGATATGCTCTAAAATAGAAGGGAGGTAGTGAATGAAACAAACTATGAAGTGAAAGATGCAGCAATATAAATTACCCAATCTAAACAACAGAGAAAAAAGTGCTGAAAAAAATAAATGAACAGAGCCTCAGAGATTTGTTATATAAAACAAAAGATCTAATTTTATCACATTGGAATCTCAGAAGCAGAGAGGAAGAGATGTTAGAAAGTCACTCCAAGATAATGACTGAAAACTTTTCAAAATTGCAAGAGATGAACCTCATGTTTGAGAAGCTGAGTGAAACACAAATGGAAGAAACTCAAAGAAATCCATACCAAAGTACATAATAATCAAATTTCTGAAGACTAAATGCCAAAGATAAAAATCTTGAGAATAACCAGAGAAAAACAAAGCCATGTATGACAGAAGGAGATGACAAAATATATATTTTAATTCTTAAAGAAAAGTGTTGTCCACCCAGATTCCTATACTGAAGTAAGACATCTTTCAGTGAAGCAGGAAACATCAAGATATTCTCAGGTAAAGGAAAAGTAAAAACAACATGCCAGCACCTACTTTACATGAATGGTCGAAGGAAGTTTTCCCAAATAGAAAGGAAAGCATAAAAGAAAGCAAATTGGAAATAAAGAAGTAAGAAACAAAGCAGTAAACAAAAGTGGGTAATTATAAGAGGATTTCTTTTCTCTTTAGATTTTTATAAATCATATATGATGATTGAAGCAAATTTTATTACATCAGATATTTTTAAATGTCTATGGAA